ACACAGACAAACCCCACATACGCTTCTTGCGTCAATTCCACTTTGGCCCTCCTGTCGGATAAGGCAACAGTTTGGCCCATGCGGAAGAGGACAAAGGTCCATCCGGCTGCATAAACCCAAAAAATGCAAAAAAAAAAAAAAGGTGAAATCGGTTTTACAGGTCGGGTGCACGGTTAAGAGTTCCGTAACCCATCCTCGCTGCCGCAAAGCCGACCGTTCCCCCCCCCCCCGCAGGAACAAAAGGGCTGGGAGCATTTACCTGCTCGAACACAAAACAAACCCTGGTTAGATACGGGAAGGGGTTCCCCAAATCTGTTTGGAGGTTTCCGGGACACCCCCTATTTCCAGCCCCTTCTCCTCCTTCCACCCCCCCCCCAGGGATTCTGAGGGAGCTTGGCTGAGAAAAGGGCCAGGTGGGGGCCAAACCAGAGTTAGACTCTTGCGACTGATCGTGGTCTGTCTAGACCACGGCTTGGGGAGAAGGACACTTCATAGCTACCGAAGTGGCGGTTTTTAACCATAGACTGGATAAATTGAATCCCTAAATTTCCAGGGAGGGGGGGGGGAGCGGATCCTTGGAAGTTGGGAGGAATAGAAGGGGGGGGCACCCAAGGTGACCGAGTCTGCTTCCAGTCCTGCCTCTCCCCCCCCCCCCTCCGTTCTCCACGCCATGCCTGATTGGATCTCCCTGGAGTGACCTTGAAACAGCTTCATTCTCCTGGCTGGGTGCCGGGATCTACAGATTGATCCAATAGCTGAAGAGGGGGGGGGTCATAGAAGTAAGCTGTAAGGTGCAGGGGGGGCTCATTCCAATTCACTCTCCCCCCCAAAAAAAAACCCTGCAGCTTTCTGCTTTCGTCCCGCCCCCTTTCCCCCCCCCTCTCTCCTGAACTGCGGAGACCGTTTGCGTCTTGAGATCTAGAAATTTAAAGTCACGGTTAATTTTGAGAGGGAGGACCGAGTCTTGCTGGCTTAAGTTTTTCGGGGAGGGGGCTGCAGGGTCGCTGGGCCCATCGCCTGTTTTTTTTGGGGGGGGGTGTTCAGCTCTCCAAAGTTACTCCTGGAACCTGAGTTCGAATCTTGAAATATGCCCCCCCCTTGCCAGCTCGAACAAGCCATGTAATTGGGGGAATTGAGGAATACGCGCAGTGCTCGACTTACGGCGATTCGTTTAGTGTCTGTTCAAAGTTACAACGGCACTGGAAAAAAGGCACTCATGACCCTTTTTCACACTTTAACGACCGTTGGAGCATCCCCAACGGTCATCTGACCAAAATTTGGACGCTTGGCCACTGACTCACAGTTATGACGGTCGCAGAGTCCCGGGGTCACGTGATCCCCTTTTGCGACCACTTCAATTTTGTACCCCAAATTTTAAAATGGAGGGAGAAAACATTTGCCTTCCACCCTCGGGGAGTCTTGAGTGATCCGAGATTCCTGCTCTACAGGGCTTACCTTTTGATTTAAAAGCTTTAGAGGGTTGGGTCACACAGCACAACTGAAGCCCAATTTCTAAACTGGGGTTTGTTTGTTTTTTTGCATTCACATAAGGAACTGGAGCGATGTAATCCAGTCGGCTGGTCCAGTTACTACACTGGCTTTTGGGGTTTCACACAAGAGAAGGAACTGGGGCGAGATACTCAGGTCGGCTGGCTTTTGCCTGAGACACGAACGAATGAATGAACCGAACTGAATTGGTTGTGTGAATGCAACTTGGTATTTAACCTGGATAAAGCAAACCCCGCTCCTTGCTAACAAGTGATGATGTTAGCTAGCTTGTTAAATGAAATGTCTGCAAGGAAACAACCGAGCTTAGAGAACACCAAGGACCCCACAGTTCTCCTCCTCCTCCTCCTCCTCCTTCTCTTCCTCACCACAAACCCCCTCCCTTCTAGCACTGATGATGTTACCTAGTTGGGTCATGAAACGTCTGCAAGGAAATAACCAAAGGCACCAAGGACCCCATAGTCATCGTCGTTGTCTTCCTCCTCCTCCTCCTCCTCCTCCTCCCCCCCCCCCCCCCCCCCCCCCCCCCCCCCNCCTCCTCCTCCTCCTCCTCCTCCTCCTCCTCCTCTCTGCAAACCCCATTCCCTTCTAGCACTGATGATATAATTTAGTTGGCCCATGAAACGTCTGCAAGAAAACCACCCAGCTCAGACAGCACCAAGGACCCCACATCTTAACCCTGGGCTACAAATCTCCTTTACCGGCTAAACAACCCCCCCCCCCGACTCCAACTCTTCTGACTGTACCCGGTTTTCTCTTTGCCCCCCCTTCCCTTCCTGCAGAGCTGTCCAGCCATGTCCTCCCGGGAACGCCGGACGGAATTCTTCATTAAAACCGAGCCGGCTTCCCCCGATAGCCTCGTGCAACACAGCCCCAGTGGGTCCTCCGACACCAGCACCAGCGGGGCCCCCGCCGAACTCGAGACCGCCAGCACCTTGCCCGTCGGGACGGGGGCCTCCCGCCGACGCCACGATGAGGACCCCGACGAAGCTCCCGGCCGGGGAAAGTATATGCTGAACACCATGCCCAAGCGGCTGTGTCTGGTGTGTGGGGACATCGCCTCGGGGTACCACTATGGGGTGGCCTCGTGCGAAGCCTGCAAAGCGTTCTTCAAGCGGACGATCCAAGGTCAGTGCTTCCTTTTTCTGGCTCTATGCCCGGGGCCTTCAAACTTGGCCACTTTTAAGACTTGTGGACTTCAACTCCCAGAATTCCTCAGCCTGCGCAGGAATTCTGGGAGTTGAAGTCCACAAGTCCTAAAAGTCGCCAAGTTTGAAGACCCTTGCTCTACGCCAGGGGTAGGCAAACCTGGGCTCTTTTATGGCGCGTGGACTTCAACTCCCAGAATTCCTGAGCCGGCCATGCTGAGGGGAAAGGGAGAGGTTTCCAAGCTGAGCTACAAACTCTTGTAAGTCGAGCACTAAGCTGTGTTTTTAAATTGTCTTATTAAATGCAACTTGCAACCTCAGCCGAAGTTGTTTTCCTGAATTTCTGCAGATACAGACGTCAGAAATAAATCAGAAACAAACAAAGGGGGGGGGGACTGAAATCTCTTAAAACCCCTTTGATTTGTGGAAACCCAAACAGGAAATCTGCTGTTATTATTGAAATATGCTCTCTCAAACCGAAGACATTAAATCGCTTTAGATTCGCACACCCCGGCTTTAAATCCAGGCTCTTCTCTAACTTTTACACCTGTCTGCATGATGACAAATAACTGGGAATCTTTTGAAATTCCCCAATTGTAAATCCGGTTCCCTCACGAGCCAGGAGGGGAATTCCAGGAGTTAAATGTCGGTTTATCCAACGGAAGACTTCCTTAAAAAAAAAAAAAGCCTTGAGGGACCCAGTTTCCTTAATGCTGTTCCCTACTGCTAGAGGGGAACATAAAATAGGGAACAATAAAAGCTACCTGAATTGGGAGTGTAAACCTTATTTGCCCCGTCCTGGGAGAGTTAAGATGCCTACAAGCGAGTTACAACTGCTTCATCCAGTTGTCGGCCTATTCAGTAATTAAATTTATGCTGCTTTTGAGCCTTTGAGTAAACTACAGGTAGTCCTTGACTTCACGGCCAGAATTGAGCCGGAAGTTTCGGTTACTAAGCAAGACAGTTGTTTGCCCCGTTTTACGGCCTTTCTTCGCACAGTTGTTAAGTGGATCATTGCGGTTCTTAAGCTAGTAACACGGTTGTTAAGTCAATCTGGCTTCCCCATTGCTCGCCAGACAGTCGCCAAAGGGGATCACGTGACCCCGGGAGACACTGCGACCGTCATAAATACGAGTCAATTTCCAAACGTCTGAATTTCGATCACCTGACCACGGGGAGGCTGCAACGAATGGTCGTAAGTGTGAAAAACGGGTCCTCCGTCGCTTTTTTCAGTGCCGTTGTAACTTTGAGCGGACGCTAAACGAACGGTTGTAAAGCGAGGAGCGTCTGCAATGGATGAATGTGCCTGCCTTTGCTCTGTCCTGCAGGAAGCATTGAGTACAGCTGCCCGGCCACCAACGAGTGTGAAATCACCAAACGTCGCCGGAAAGCCTGCCAGGCGTGTCGTTTCACCAAGTGCCTCCGCGTGGGCATGCTGAAGGAAGGTAGTTTGTTTTGGGGAAGGGGCTTCAGTCTCAACGAAGGGGTGACAAATGGATTGATTGTTGCTGAACTTCACTTCCCAGCTTCCTTAGAGTGGGGGATGCTGGGAGTTGTAGTTCTATTCAGTTCAGACCACCCGCTGCCCAGATGCGTTCTGGGAGGAAGATCTGAAAAGCCTGAGCAGCAGGTTGGACTGGAAGACCTTCAGGGTCCCTCCCAACTCTGCTATTCTGTTATTCAGCTATTCCTTCCTTCTTTCCTTCCTTCCTTCCTTCCTTCCTTCCTTCCTTCCTTCCTTCCTTCTTCCCTCCCTCGTCACTGGAGGTTTTCAAGAAGAGACTGGACAAAATGGCATAGGGTCTCCTGCTTGAGCAGGGGGTTGGAGTAGATGACCTCCAGGGTCCCTCCCAACTCTGCTATTCTGTTATTCAGCTATTCTTTTTTTCCTTCCTTCCTTCCTTCCTTCCTTCCTTCCCTCCTTCCCTCCCTCATCACTGGAGGTTTTCAACAAGAGACTGGACAAAATGGCATAGGGTCTCCTGCTTGAGCAGGGGGTTGGACTAGATGACCTCCAGGGTCCCTCCCAACTCTGCTATTCTGTTATTCAGCTATTCTTTTTTTCCTTCCTTCCTTCCTTCCTTCCTTCCTTCCTTCCTTCCTTCCTTCCTTCCTTCCTTCCTTCCTTCCTTCCTTCCTTCCTTCCTCGTCACTGGAGGTTTTCAAGAAGAGACTGGACAAAATGGCATAGAGGGAGAGCATTAAACCAGAAGAGTAAATCAGGTTTTAAACGTGGGGCAAGCCGTGTTTGAAAAAAGCTCGACTCTGTAAGCCAGCATCGTATCACGGTTCACAAGGGTGATGCGTTCTTCTTTTAAAAACGGCTTCCTGCTTAAATCGAGCGTTGGAAGCTGAACATTAAGTAAACCACTTTAGGCAAGTGTTATATATGAGCTGGGGCGTCTAATGGTTTTAAATTTACACAAGAGTAGTTTTTGACTGGGGATTAAAAGAAAAAAAAATCGACACTAAAAGCAATTAAGTGTGAGAACCAATATCAAGTGGTAGCTAAGTTGAATTAATTCTCCTTTGGGAAGCCAGGTCTGCTTTGTTAGAAATGGTGCAGAATTTCCCCCCCCCCCAACTTTGAGCAAAGAATTGGGATGCTTAATTTAATTTAAAAAAAAAAATCCCTTGGGTTGTCACTCTCTGACCTTTGACTTCAGCTGCACTGCTCACTGGATTTTGGTGCTTTTGATTTTATGACCGCAATTTTTATGCTTCCCCAAATTTTTATTCATTCTTTTCAAGGAACAAAGACATAACAACGTCACAAGATAAAGAGTCAAACCCCCCCCCCAATGGGTGGATTCCAGCAATTAATGAATAGTAATTAACAAAATAAAACTCTTATAAACTGCCCCCCCCCCGGGATCAATTTTCTTGGCCTCCTTTGAATTAGACCTCAGTTCCACTTGGAACCTTTTAAAAAAAAAGTTAACATTTTTAACTTTTAAACTTAAAAACGTTTAAACACTAGAATAAATCGCTACATAAAAGAAAAAAAGTAAGTTCCTTCCTTCCTTCCCTCCTTCCTTCCCTACCTCTCCTTCCCCTCTCTCCTTCCTTCTTTCTCCCTTCCTTCCTTCCATCCATCCATCCTTCCTTCCCTTTGCCTTCTCTCCTTCTTCTCCACAACCTTTCCAAACATGGCTTTCCACAGCAGCTGATGAAAAACCATCCTCATCCTCCACAGCTGCCATGGGTGGGGATGATGGGAGTTGTAATCCACCCACACCCGTTAGTCTCATTTTGCTGAAGAAGGGAAAATCTCGGCTGGCAAATTTTCCCAGGCGGCAGAGTTTTCAATTGTGCTTCGCCCCAGCTGGATGCTGAATTCTGAAGACAGTGCCTCTGAGCGTAACAAGAGTTGCCTTTTCCCCCCTCCATGCCACAGTTGAATCCCAGGTGCTGCGAAGGAAGGAAGGAAGGATTTAGGGAGGGTAAAAGATTTGAGGCTAAATTTGGATGGTTTGAGAAACGCACAAGTCTTTAGCAAGGGCTGAAACTACATGTTTTCTTCCCCGTTATAATTTTTCTTCCTTTCTTCCTTCCCCTGCCAATTTTTAGGGGTACGCCTCGATCGGGTACGTGGGGGTCGACAGAAATATAAGCGCCGGCCAGAGGTGGAGGGTGCCCCCTACCCCAGCACTTTTGTGACCCCACAGATCGCCACAGCTACCGCCAAGAAGTCAGGTAAGTAGCCTCGACTGATGGAGCACCTCCATAATTTCAGGGTGCAGAAACCTCAGCTTGGGATTCCACTTCTTTGCCTTGGATTGTCCCTTTCTTTTCTTTCTTTTAAAAGGAGGAAGGAAGGAAGGAAGGAAGGAGAGAGAAAGAAAGAAAGAAAGGAAAGGAAAGAAAGAAAGAAAAGGAAGGAAGGAAGGAAAGAGGAAAGAAAGAAAGAAAGAAAGAAAGGAGGGAGGGAGGGAAGGAAAGAAAGAAAGAAAAGAAAGAAAAGGAAGGAAGGAAGGAAAAGAAAGGAAGGAAGGAAAGAGAAATAAATAAAGAAAGAAAGAAAGAGAAAAGGAAGGAAGGAAGGAAAAGGAAGGAAGGAAGGAAAGAGGAAAGAAAGAAAGAAAAAGAAAGAAAGAAAAAACAAAAGGAAGGAAAAGGAAGGAAAGAAGGAAAGAGGAAAGAAAGAAAGAAAAAGAAAGAGAAAGAAAGAAAGAAAGAGGAAGGAAAGGAAGGAAAAGAAAGAAAAAAAAGAGAGAAGGAAGGAAAAGAAAGGGAAGGAAGGAAGGAAGGAAAGAAAAAATAAAATGAAGGAAGGAAAAGAAAAAAAGGAAGGCAAGAGGAAAGAAAGAAAAAGAGAAAGAAAGAAAGAAGAAAGAAAAAGAAAAAGAAAGAAAAAACTAAAGTGCATAAAAAATCACGAAATAACTTCTAGTTTTCTTTTACATCAACATTACTTTCATCTTTCTCTACCATCTGTTTTTCTAATCATCAAACCTATCTATCATAATTCCATTCCCCCCCCCCCTCTCTCTCACACACACACACCCATACACACACCCATACACACACCTATCCCAAAAAGAGACTTTGGCCTTTGTTCTCTTCCTTTATTTTTTTTCTTTCTCCTCCCTTCGCGATTCGTTTCAATCCATTTTCGTTTTTTCTTTCGGGCTGCGAAAAAAACAAAACCAAAAAAACCCCCACACCCAGCCCCCTTTTTCTTTCTCTCCCTTCCCGCCCAGCCCCGATGAACACGATGGTGTCGCATTTGTTGGTAGCCGAACCGGAAAAACTCTACGCCATGCCGGACCCGGCGCTTTCCGAGGGTCCCGTGAAAGCTGCAAGCACTTTGTGTGATCTGGCCGACCGGGAGATTGTGGTCATCATTGGCTGGGCCAAAAATATACCAGGTACGGCCTGACATTTCCCATCTGGCCCCCCCAAATTGCTTTCTCCTCAATGGTTTTCTGTTCTCCTAGAACAGCCGTCCCAGGGCCGTTGTTCTGAGGAGGACCCAACACAGGCGGTCCTCGCCTGATGACTTTTCGCTTAGCCACCCTGCAAACGGCGCCGAAAATAAAGCGACTTACGGCCAGTCCTCGCACGTACGACCGTCATAGCATCCCCACAGGGCCAAGGGTTCAAAAATTGGGCGCTTGGCAACCGGCCTGTATTTATGACGGCTTACAGCAGTGGTTCTCAACCTTTTTAATGCGACCCCAACCGGTCGTAAGTCAAGGACTAAACCGGTCGTAAGTCGAGGACTTTCCCTGCCCGGGAGCACCACGCACGCGTGGTTCCGCCCCCTGCGCCGGCCGAGGCGTAGCTGGCAAGCGGCAGAGACGGAGCAGGCCGACCACCAGCTGGCCCAGCCCAAGGGAGGTAAGGCACCCGCCGGAAAAGGAGAAAAAGTGGCGGACAGCCTTGCTTGGCGACCCCCGTGAAATGGTCGATCGACCCCAAATGGGGTCCTGACCCACAGGTTGAGAACCACTGGCTTGCAGGGTGACACGGTCGTCGTTTTTGCAACCACTTGCGTTGAGTTCGGACGAGGAAAGTCAATGGGGGAAGCCCGATTTGCTTAATGACCACCTGACTCGCTTAACGACGAGTGATTCGCTTAACACTCAGAGCAAAAAAAAAAAAAGCATAAGATAGGATGACTTCCTAACTGCGTCCTTTAGCCGTGGGGTTCTGCTCTCATTTGTGTTCATAAGTCCCTTGTGCCCGCATCTGATCCTTCCCAAAAGGCCATTAATGCAGTGAAAAGGAGTCCAAATCTTGGAAATGTGGCCTGAGCGGCCATATTTTCTAATTTCCTCATATTCTCTAATTATTCTATTCTTGGCCTCCGAAAGAGCCTTCCATTAAAAAAAAAGCTTTGTTTTCTTTTCTTCTGTTTTATTCCCTGGTAACTGAAAAATCAGGGGAAAATATATTATTTCAATATATCCTTAGAGGACCGCCTGTAGACCACTGGCACTTTCTGGGCAGGATCCTCAACTTACAACCGTTTGTTTAGTGACCCAAGTTACAATGGCGCTGGGAAAAAATTACTTAGGACTGCTTTCCCACACTTACGCCGCCAAGGCCACAGGATCAACATTCAGACACTTGGCAACGGACTCGTATTTGCGCCGGTCGCAGGGCTCCTGTGATGCCCTTCTGCGACCTTCTGACAGAGTCAGTGCGGAGGCCAGATTCATTTAACGACCGTGTGCCTGCACTGATTCATTTAACCGTGGCGGCAAAGGCTGTTAACTGGGCAAAACTCGCTTAGCAACCGTCTCACTCAGGATCAGAAATTTGGGCTCAATCGTGGTCGTAGGTTCGAGGACTGCCTGTAGTGACCGGGCAAACATCATCCCCTGCATTCACACAACCCCCATTCCTGGTTTGCTTCCTCTGGCTAGGATTCCCAGCCTTGTCCTTGGCCGATCAGATGTCTGTTCTGCAGAGCGTCTGGCTGGAGGTTTTGCTCCTCGGCGTCGCCTGGCGCTCCCTGCCTTGCGAGGACGAGATTGTGTTTGCGGAAGATTTCGCGCTAGACGAAGAGGCGGCCCGGACGGCGGGACTGCTGGAGCTGAGCAGCGTGGTCCTCCAGCTGGTGCGCAAATACCGGGCGCTGCGCCTGGAGCGGGAGGAATATGTGCTGCTGAAGGCGTTGGCCCTTGCCAACTCAGGTGAGGCTCAGCGAAAAGGCTTGGTCTTCTCGCGAAGGAATGAGGAGACGGTGAGTTCTAGTTCCACTTTAGGCACGGAAGCCCGCTGGGTTAATTTGGGCCAATCGCCAGGAGACGGAGAGTTCTAGTCCCGCCTTAGGTATGAAAGCCCACTGGGCTAACTTGGGCCAATCACCAGGAGACAGTGAGTTCTAGTCCCGCCTTAGGTATGAAAGCCCACTGGGCTAACTTGGGCCAATCACCAGGAGACAGTGAGTTCTAGTCCCGCCTTAGGTATGAAAGCCCACTGGGTTAACTTGGGCCAATCACCAAGAGACAGTGAGTTCTAGTCCCGCCTTAGGTATGAAAGCCCACTGGGTTAACTTGGGCCAATCACCGGGAGACAGGGAGTTCTAGTTCTGCCTTGGGCATGAAAACTGGCTGGATGACTTTGGCCAAACACCAGGAGACTGTGAGTTCTAGTTCTGCCTTAAACAGGGGGTTAAGCGAGTTGCGCCTGATTTTACGACCTTCTTTGCCACCCTTGTTAAGCAAAGCACACAGTGCTGAAATGAATCCGTGGAGGACTCCCTGTAATCCCGTTGCTTTCCCTTCTGCCCCCAGACTCCGTTCACATCGAGGACATGGCGGCCGTCCAACGCCTCCGGGACGTCCTTCACGAGGCGTTGCTGGAGTACGAAGCCTCGCGGCGCCCGGAGGAACCACGCCGGGCCGGCCGCCTTTTGCTAACCCTCCCGCTGCTGCGCCAAACCGCCACCCGGGTGCTTCACCACTTCTACAGCTTGAAACTGGAGGGCAAAATCCCCATGCATAAGCTGTTCCTGGAGATGTTGGAAGCCATGATGGACTGAAGGCAGGACAGGCTGAGAATTGGGGTCCAGGATTCAGGAGGGTGGGGGAGGCCCGGGCATCCAGGACGGGGTGGGGTGCCAAGCCCGCGATCGGGAGACCAGCAGACGCAGAGGCCCGGATGCGGATTTTGCCACCCTCTGAATCCCCGCCACGGCTATCGCGCTAAACTAACATGCATTTCACCATATGCAAACCATGCGGTCAGCGCCTCCCCCCCACCCCCCCCCCAAGCTTCGTGCACAGTGGAGAACGACACACCCACCGCAACGCAGATCGCCACGGCAATCCTCCCCAGATCGGATTTGACACCCGGGGCCGGTTGGTGGAGACAGGGACAAATGTTTTAGAAGCCATACTTTAATTTTAATTTATTGATTGGGACGTGGGGGGGGGGCGGCAGGGAAGGAGATTAGAGCAAGGCTTGTCCTCCTCGGCAGCAGGAAGGGGGGTGGACTTCATCTCCCAGAATTCCCCAGGCAGCGTGATTTAAGAGGGGTGGACTTCAGCTCCCAGAATCCCCCAGCTAGCATGCTTTGGCATGGGCAGACTTCACCTCCCAGAATTCCCCAGCCAGCACACTTCCAGCTGGGTGGACTTCAACTCCCAGAATTCATGTGGGCTGAGGAATCCTGGGAGTTGTAGTCCACTCCTCTTCTAGTTGCCAAGATTGAGGAAGAACGGATTAAATACTGTAGTACTAGCAGTCGCCTGGGTTTAAGTGTTGTGTACAAAGGACATAGGGCTCTTTAGCATATGGGGTGGGGGTGGGGGGCGGGAATTGGAGCTGTCCCACCCCAGAAGTGGCGAGAAAGCCTCATTTGGGTGGGTGGGGGCCCAAATGAGGCTTTCTATTTCGGGGAGGTCTCTTTTCCTGCTGCCTAGGTTTCCTTCCCAGGGTCTCTTTGTTCCCACGCTTGGGCTACGCCCCGATCCAAAGCACCTTAAGACATTGTGGGAAGCCACGGTTCCAGGAATTGGGGGTGCGGAGACTGGGGAGGGGAAAAGGGAGGGCACAGGACCCTCCCCTCCTTGTTTTGCCTCGGCGTGCCAGTCTCTGCGCAACCTCAGCGGAGGGACGCTCCTCCGCCGTTCTTTGCCCCCTTCTTGCCATCTGCCTCCTTCTCTCCTCCTTCCCCGAATTATCCCTTTGAAGCAATAACTTTAATAAAAAATAAAATAAACGGGATGTGGAGAGCTGGGGGTCTCCGAGGGGGGATTGCCTCGCTCGCTCGCTCGCACGCAACCTGCCTTTAAAAGCCAGGAAAGAGGTGGGCTGCGTTGAAGGAGCGAGCCCCCTCCCTCCGAGACAGAATAATATAATAATAAAAATAAAAAGGCCGGTCCTTTCGTTCTGCGTCCTTCGCCCGCGTCCCATACAGCAATAGTTCAAAAGGCAATTTTGCTTTTCTTTTCAGGTGTGACGCCCTGTCTCCCCTCGACCCAACAGGTGACTTGCCTCCTTCCCCAACCTCAACCCAAGACCCAACCTGTTGCCCAAAGCAATAAAAAACCACCTTATATTCCCTCTCAATTCCCTTCCTTCCCACTCAGATTCGGAAGGAACGTCCCCCCCCCTGTGGCTTGAACGGGAGAGCCGTGTACATAGCAATATATTTTACTGTATATTTGTCGCAGGAAAAATTTTACAGAAAGGAAAAAAAAAAAGATCTTAGCCCATCTTTGACACATCTGCCTCTTCCCTAAAGAGGCAGGTGTGACCTCCCTGGTGTGTGTGTGTGTGTGTGTGGAGGGGGAGGGTGGAATAAAGGAAGGTGGGGGAAAACAGACACGCTGGACTTTTTTTTTTTTTAAATTAAATTATATGTGTGTGTACATATTATAAATACTTTGATCTGTGTATAGGCGGTTATACATTCATAGAGAGCTCTATTATGGAAAGAATATTAAAAGAAGGCCGATGCAGCCTCTGCCGACATTTAACCTCTGTCTTTGTTTGGTGGCAGCGTCTTGCGCTGAACTCGAACCCTGGGCCGGCCAGAGAAGCAGGAGATGCAGCCAGATCATATTATGTTTATCATTTATTTATAAGCTTCATTCATCTCCAGGTCACGAGTCCAGGGCAGGGAACAGTCATTAAGAAAAACAGGTAAATCTCGACTTACAACCACATCTGAGCTCAAATTTTCCATCGGTAAGCAAGACAGTGAGTGGTTAAGTGAGTTTTGACCCATTTTACGACTTTGCTTGCCACAGTTGTTAAATGAAGAGCTACAGTTGTTAGCAACACTTTCAATTTCCAAACAGATCTCCTACACCCCAACCCTAGGATTCTCTTAATCAACGTCAAGCAGTCCGTTTCAAGCATTCAGATTTATTTACAGACACAAAACAAACAATAATGCAAAAAAACCGTGGCAGGGAGATAAACTGTTTCTCCTCCGTCCCTCTGGACTCGTTCTAGCGCCGTTTTGATAGTAGGGCAGCTCACGTCTCGTCTTCGCTCAGCAGCATATTCGGGATGCCCTTGGCAATGGGGAATTCCCGCCCAGTATCCGGACACTTCAAGACCCCTTCGATCACCTCCACCTAAAGAAGGTAAAAAGGGAATCAGGAGGGAAAGAAGGTCAGGAAAGAAGGAAAAGGGAGAGGAGAGGAGGAGAGAGAAAAATAAATGCAACTTAAAAAAGGAAAGGAGAATGAAAAACACAACTTTATAAAGGAAAGGAGAGGAAAGAAGAAAAGGAAAGGAAGAGGAGAAAAAAATAAACGCAACTTAAAGGAAAGAGCAAAGAAGGAAAGGAAAGGAGGAGAAAATGCAACTTAAAAAAGGAGAGGAGAGGAAAGAAAGGAAAGGAGGAAAGGAAAAGAAAGGAAAGGAGAAAGAAAAATGCAACTTAAAAAGGAGGAAAGAAGGAAAGGAAGACGAGAAAGAAAAATAAACGCAACTTAAAAAGAGGAGAGGAAAGAAGAAAAAAGGAAAGGAGGAAAGGAGAAAGAAAAACGCAACTTAAAAAGAAGAGGAAAGGAAAGGAAGAGAAAGAAAAATAAACGGAACTTAAAAAGAGAGGAAAAAGGAAAGGAAAGGAGAAAGAAAAACACAACTTAAAAAGAAGAGGAAAGGAAAGGAAGAGGAGAAAGAAAAATAAACGGAACTTAAAAAGAGGAGAGGAGAGGAAAGAAAGGAAAGGAAAGGAGGAAAGGAAAGGAGAAAGAAAAACGCAACTTAAAAAAGAGGAGAGGAAAGAGGAAAGGAGGGGGAGAAAGGAATAGAGGGGAGGAAGGGAGAGGAAGGAGAAGAACACAAAGCTGCTGTTTTGGGACAGACGGGATTCTCCTGACTTGGCTGGATGCATTCCACGAAGTAAGGGAAAACAAAATAAAGTTTCAAACCTCCATCAAGACATGATGCACTTTCCGAAGGAAATCTTCATTTTGCTCATAATCGGGGATGAGCTCCGACGGAAGGTCTGACCGGTGACCCAACTGTAAAGGGAAGAAGATCCGGTTATTATTTTTCACCAGCTCATCATCCGAGGCCGATATTTCCCTTCTCAACCACAGGCTGTGCTTTTCTCCTAGCAATAAGCTTCCAATTCGAACTTTTTAGTTCTTTTCAACCAGACATACCCTTCTGAGATTCTCCCTTTCTCCCATATTTGGGCCGACAGGGTGCACCAAACTCAAGATATATATATATATATATATATATATATATACACACACACACACATTCCCTGAGCAACTTGCAAGAAAGAAAGAAAAGAGGAGAAAGAAAAATAAACACAACTTAAAAAAGGAAAAGAGAGGAGAGGAAAGAAGGAAAGGAAGATAGAAGAAAGGAAGGAAAAGGAAGATAGAAGAAAGGAAAGGGGGAGGAAGGAATAGAGGGAAGGAAGATGCACATGTTTGAAAATGCAAAGGAGGGTTAATAACCACCAGCTGACTAGAAGAAGAAGGAAGAGCCTGGATCCCTGCTTTCACCATCTGCCCGACACCTGCCCAGGACTTACACTTTCTGCAGCGCCCACCAGAGCTGCCCATTCTATTTTGGGCACCATCCGTGCCGTGAACTCCGGGTTGAAGTCGATGTTGTTCACCTTCACCTCTGTAGCCTATGGGCAGGAAAGACCGAAAGGTTAAGTCTCAGGAAACCCTTAAAACAAGGATTACGGCGCAGTTAAGCAGGCTGAAATTCTTACTCCCCATCTTCCTAGGCAGAACGATCCACAGGCCTTCGCGGTTTGGGGCCGGGCTACCTTAGGAACCCTCTTCTCCCGTTTGTTTCTGCTTGTCCAGTTTGCTCAAGCAGGCCGGGCACGTTGTGGGTCCCATCAGCCGAGGCATGTTGTCAGCTGGTGGGCACCAGGAGAAGTGCCTCCTCTGCCACGGGCCCTACCCATTGGACTATTCTGCCTCCAGGTATCAGGAGGGCCACCACCTTCTCGGTTTTTTGTAAGGCTATGAAGATTATGGGTCCAGGCCTCGGACCCCAAGTGGGTTAAGGGTCTCATTTCCTGGCTGCATAGTAACAATTCTACTTGGGGCCATTATTTTTATTTCATTATAGATTTTGTTTATCCCAACTTTATTATTTGTATAAATAAAAATAACAGAAAAACAGTTGGGAGGAGGAACCTTAGAGATCATCTAGTCCAGCCCCCTGCTCAAGCAGGAGACCGATCTAATGGTTAAAGCACCAGGCTAGAAAGCAGGGGGCGGTGAGTTATGGTCCCACCATAGGCATGAAAGCCAGCAGGGTGACTTTGGACCAGTGACTCTTAGTCGGATCCACCTCACAGGGTTGTCGTGGGGAAGAGGAGGAGGAAGGAGCACTGTATACTGTATGTCCGCCACCTGGAGTAATTTCTAAAAATAATAAGAGACAGAATACAAATAAATACATAATTCAAGGGGGCAAACATACAGCATATAATGCTCTTTCCTCCTCTTCTTTTCCCCACAACGACAACCCTGTGAGGTGGGTTGGGCCAATTTATTTTGTACCACCTTAATTTTTTTTAAATGTTTTATGATGTAAATAAACCACCCAGATTGAACGGCTCAGAGGGGTCACTATAGAAATCAAATAAAATAAACAAACAGCCAGGTAGGGGATGATGGGATCACAAGCAGGACGATGCAGTTCCTTCAACCAAGGCTCCAATATCAGATTTAGGACTACCCAGCCCATCTTCTCTCTCTTTGCTACCACCTAAATCTAAGGAACCTAAAGGAGGGGGAGTTGGGGATGATGGGAGCTGTAATCTGGAGAATGCAAAACTGGGGGAGCTTGGCTGGGGGAATGGGGAGCTGGAGTGCAGCACTAAAGCGATGGGCTATGTAGTCCAGCCTGCTGTGAAGGGACGCGGGAAGGCTTTGCCAGCCTCGCTTTACCTTTATGAGAAGGGGAAACCCTCCTCCGGCTCGCACGCCCCGCACGTGAGAAGTGAGCATGTTGTGGGTCAGGAGTTTCATGTTTTCGGTCCGCCGAGCGAGCAGGGAAGGACACGTGCGCGCAGGGGGGGTCCCTTCCGGTCTGCTTCCGGTATGGGGTAAACAAAAGCCGCCGGTCTTTCCTCTCCACTTCCGGCGAGTTTGTGCAACGCTCGCTTGAGTCCTCCGGGAAACGCGACCCCTGCGCGATAACAGTTCCGGGCTCTGAGGGTTCCTGGTTGCAAAAACTTGTGTCGAATGAGCTTTGCCCCGTCTTACAACCTTTCTTGCCACAGTTGTTAAGCGAGTCGCTGCAATTGTTAAGCTAGTAACACGGTTGTTAAGTGAATCTGTCCTCCCCCCTGACTTGCCAGAAGGTCGCAAAAGGGGGTCAGGTGGTCCAGCCGCCTCCTCAGGGACAGGAAGTCGGCCGTGCCGAGAAGGTCGTTCTGAATAGAAGTGGAAGGACGGCCACAGAAACGGACAGGAAGTTGGCCACCCCGGGGAGCTCGGCGTGTAGGACAGTGGAGCACTACTGCGCATGTGTGACAGGAAGTCGGCAGGTAAGGTTTATTTCCTTGTATGGCTGCTATTCCTGCCTAAGGCTGCATTCTGAGGACTTTGCCCCTAAAATAAGGAAAATAGTCTTTCATATCTTGGGAAAGCCTGACTTTTTTGCCCTCTTTGGGGTAAGGTTTATTTCCTTGTGTGGCTGCTATTCCTGCCTTGTCCACTGGAGGGCACTGCTTTCTGTCCCATAGCATTAGCACTTAGGCCATCATAGGCCTAAATAATAATAAATAATAATAATAATAATAATAATAATAATAATAATAATAATAATAATAAATAGTAGTAGTAGTAGTAGTAGTAGTAGTAATAGTAATAATAGTAATAATAATGTCATTCTTTATTATTATTTATTATTATGCCCCCCAAATAACCAACATAGTCTTTCATATCTTGGGAAAGCCTGACTTTTTTGCCCTCTTTTGGGTAAGGAGGGACTAGGGCCTGACTTTTGACCCATTTTGGGGTTAGAAAAGAGTTAGGTCTACGTAAGGCCGCATTCTGAGGACTTTGTCCCCAAAATGGCCAACACAGTTTGTGATATGTTAGGAAAGCCTGACTTTTTTGCCCTCTTTGGGGTAAGGCTTATTTCCTTGTGGCTGCTATTCCTGCCTTGTCCACTGGAGGGCACTGCTGTCTGTCCCACAGCATTAGCACTTAGGCCATCATAGCCTTTTTAACTCGGTTTAAGTGTTTTGAAGCAGGTTTCCTTCTTCTGTGCCTGTTCTGCAGCCCTTGGGCCTCCCGTTGCTCTATTATGATTAATATTAAGGCTTTTAATAATGTAATAATAATAAGTCATTCTGATGACTTTGCCCCCTAAATAACCAACATAGTCTTTCATATCTTGGGAAAGCCTGACTTTTTTTGCCCTCTTTAGGGTAAGGTTTATTTCCTTGTGTGGCTGCTATTCCTGCCTTGTCCACTGGAGGGCATTGCTGTCTGTCCCACAGCATTAGCACTTAGGCCATCATAGGCCTTTTTAACTCGGTTTAAGTGTTTTGAACCAGGTTTCCTTCTTCTCTGCCTGTTCTGCAGCCCTTGGGCTTCCCGTTGCTCTATTGTGATTAATATTAAGAATTCTAATAATGTAATAATAATAATAATAAAGTCATATCTTCCACGCAGCTCCAGGAAAGCAAAAGCAAAGCAGATCTTGCAAAAATCACCCAATCTGCTTCGGCCATGTGACCAGGCACCAAAAAACCCAAAAAAAACCCCACTTCCGGCTTCTCCTCTCCAAGCCACATGGCTGCAGAGGCCTGTTTTTGGTCGCGGTTTTTCATGTCTTAACAGTAAGTACCCTTTCTGAATTAATTTGTTTTTCTGAACACTGGCTAAATAAACGTTCATACCTGGGGGAATTACCTGTATATAGCCATTCGTGTTAAAATTAAGAATTAAGTCCCACTTGAATAACTGCACCTGCTTTTAATTAAACAGCCAGTTGCATTTAAGTATGGAGACCTTGTTAAAGACTCACTGATAGACTCCGGGGCTCCCTTTTTTTCCAGGCACCCAGTGGAAAGGTTTTTTAAATCAAATAAAATGAAATAAACTCCTGCATTTGTTCCAATTTACTGTGCACTTGAATAACTGCACCTGCTTTTAATTAAACAGCCAGTTGCATTTAAATATAGAGACTTTGTTGAAAAGCCACTGAAGAACTCTGTGGCTCCCTTTGCTACCAGGCACCCAGTGGAAAGGTTTTTAATAAAATAAAATAAAATAAACTCCTAGGGTTTTCTTTGCATTTGTTCCAATTTACTGTGCACTTGAATAACTGCACCTGCTTTTAATTAAACAGACAGTTGCATTTAAATATGGAGACCTTGTTGAAGAGCCGCTGATGGATTCTGTGGCTCCCTTTTTTTTCCAGGCACCCAGTGGAAAGGTTTTTAATAAAATAAAATAAACTCCTAGGGTTTTCTTTGCATTTGTTCCAATTTACTGTGCACCCTGCTTTTAATTAAATAGTCAGTTGCATTTAAATATGGAGACCTTGTTGAAGAGCCACTGATGGACTCTGTGGCTCCCTTTTTTTTCCAGGCACCCAATGGAAAGTTTTTTTAAAAAAATAATAAAATAAAAAAATAAACCCCTAGGATTTTATTTTGCATTTGTTCCAATTTACTGTGCATTTGAATAACTGCCCCCTGCTTTTAATTAAACAGCAAATTGCATGTCTGCTGCATTTAAATATGGAGACCTTGTTGAAGAGCCACTGATAGACTCTGTGGCTCCCTTTTTTTCCAGGCATGTAGTTCGCCACCTCTGCTTCAGCTCCCACAGCCTCATCATGGCCAACATCCCCAATGGGGCCAGCATCATGGACGACGAGTTGACCTCTCGCCGAAGGTGAGAGCTGACCCTCACAGTGGTACTTTTTATCTTAACCAGCAGGAGGCGCCCTGTGACACCACTCTCAGGGTTGCTAGACTACAATTCCCAGCAGCCTTAGCTAGACAATATTGCAGGATGCTGGGAGGCATTCCCCCAAGTTGGCCTTCCTCAGTTTAAACCCAGGGGCCTTCAAACCTGGCCCTTTTATGACTTGTGGACTTCAACTACCAGAATTCCTCAGCCCCGGCTAGGGAATTCTGGGGGTTGAAGTCCACAGGTCTTAAGAGTTGTCAAGTTTGAGAAATGCTGCTTTAGAGCAGGGGTCTTCAAACATGGCCCTTTTATGACTTGTGGACTCAGCGTGCCTGGCTGAGGAATTCTGGGAATTGAAGTCCACAAATCATAAAAGGGCCAAGTTTGAAGACCCCTGGTTTAAACAGGAAAAGAGGAGAAGCCACACTGGAGGAGTGTTTATGGTGGCAGAGAGCCAGGATGTTGTGGCCAAGCCAGGCAGGGGTTTAGGATGGGAGGGTAGCCAGCTATAAATCGCAAGCAAGCTCTGGTGAACAGCAAGTGGCTTGGAAGAACAAACCCAGCGTGATGGGTGAAGGGTGGTAAGATGTTCCAGCACCCATTATTATGGCTTGGCTTGGCTAAGGTTGATGGGAATTATAGCCCAGCTGCTTCTGGATGGCTATTGGCCTCGCCGCCTCTTGGAATACAGAGTAGTTTAGCTTATCCAAATCCTGTTTTAAATCTTCTCTTCTCTTCTCCCTTCCCCCTTTCCCTTCCCTCCTCTCCCCTTCTTTTCCCTCCTCTCCTCACCTCTCCCCTTACCTCCTTTTCCCTTCTCTTCCCTATCTCCCCTCCCCTCCCCTCTTCCTCCCACTTCCCTTCCCTCTCTTATCTCCTCTCTCCTCCCCTTCTCCCGTCCTTTCCCATCTGTTTCCTCATAATCTGAGCTGACTTCCAAGAAGGTGAATACAAGACAGTTGACATATCTAGAGCAGTGTTTCTCAACCTTCATTACTTTTAAGACAGGCAGGTCAAACTTGCGACATCATGTGATGTCGTGCGACGTATCGTGACTTGTTCCCCATTGCCGGCAATGGGGTGGGCACGGTTTCAGCGTGACGCATCCGGCCCATGGGCCAGCAGTTTGACATGCCTGCTTTAAGAGGACTGAACTTCAATCCCCAGGATTCCCTGGCCAGGGAATTCTGGGGATTGAAGTCCACACATCTTAATGTGGCCGAGGTTGAGAAGCACTACTCTAAAAGTAGAACAACCCGGAACCATTAAGGGTACTCCTTCACGCACATGGGCCTACTCTGAATTGATGTGCTTGCATTTTAACATCTCCTTGGCCCTAGAGAGGACCCAGAGTCTGGAGCAGGGGTCTTCAAACTTGGCCCTTTTATGATTTCTGGACTTGAAGACCATTAGTCATAAAAGGGCCATGTTTGAAGGCCCCTGGTCTGGAGCAACGTTCTTCAATCTGGGCAACTTTAAGACGTGAGGGCCAATTCCCAGAATTCCCCAGCCAGCTTGAATTTGAAGTGCAGACATCTTAACGTTGCCAAGGTTGGAAAGTTGCTCCAGAGGGTTTTGAACTGCTGGGAACCAGGCTGGTTGAAAAGCACTCTGTTTATTTTCTTTTCCCTTTTCTCCCCTTGCTTCTCTCTGAACAGGCACAGAGGCATTATCTACGCCTACGAATTCTCCACAGACAAGCTGGTGGCAGAGAGCGTCCTTCCTATCTGCCGCTCCTCTTACAACAAAGTGGCCGGGCTACAGCTACAACATTGGCCTTGTGGTCCCCTATGACAACATCTAGGCAGGGTGGGAAGAAGGGAAATCCAGCTGAGCTGGACCCTGGAGAAGGAGAACCCCAAGGATGGCGTTCCTGCAGACCTCTTTGGAGGGCTCGGAAGCCACGGGTTGGCCAAGCAGGCAGCAGAATAAGGGGGGGGCACATGGGGGGTCTCCCCAAAGCTTTAATAACAGCATTGTGGGAACAAAGAAGAGATGGTGGCTAACAGGAACCATGATAGATAGGCAAGAATCAGGAGATGATAATAAAGGCTTTAGCCCAAGAATCAGGAGGTAGTAAGACAGGTTGTAGCCCACGTGTGCAGAGACCATTCTGGGGGAAGGGAGGGCTTCCGTTCCTTGCACCTAGCTGAAATAGTTCAGTGCTGCCTTTCTGAAACAGCCGCCGACGCTACCTGCAACATCTGGAGATCCTAAGAAGAAGATGAGACTTTGGGAGCGTTTTTCTTGTAAATAAAATATCTTTATTAAGCATTGGTCTCGGGATGAGGGGG